ATTATACTAATTATCTATCTTTATTTTTATACATAATATCAACTCTCGAGACATTTTTTGGAGGAGTCTATTGTGCATTTTCGGCATATTTTGCTTTTATATTTCAAAAAATACAAGCAAGATTCGCTGCCCTACCGAAAGATATGTAAGGTATGCCTTGACAGAATGTACTGTTCAAAAATGCTCTGCCTAGTTTAGTTTAGATACGAGTCTCAAAGATGCACTCGGCAAGTTAAATAGCTATAGTTATCATCACTATTTTTGCTTTCTTTATTATTGCTAATATTGTTAATTCCTTTGTCTCAAAGAGCCTCAGTTATTGCCCCAAACAGTTAGAATAGACCTGCTTTAGCCATTGATAGATTTATGCTGTCATTCTCCAGGAAATGTTGACAAATAGTCCTGCACTTTATGGCTACAGCTCTATTTTGTATTATTTACAATTGCCCATAGTGTCCCATAAAAGATACCTGCTTTTGTATATTGAGCCTCTCTCCTCCCAAAGGTTCGTAGTTAGCACATGCTTTTATAGTTAGTGCATTATTACTTTCAACAAAAAACCAACTTTCCCACGGGAATAGTTGATTTTTAGTTCGTCGAAGACAATTACATAAATATCCGAATTTATCTGGGTGAAGAGATGACTCGCACAAATAGACACCTCTATTGGCTAGCTCGGCAGAGGAGAGCGGCGGGAAAAATCAAATATACGTGGTTTGCTTCCGGAAAGGTGCGGTGTCGAAAAGAGGACGGACATAGAGTCATCCTGATAGAACAGGCCTCGGATCTAGATGTATTTGACTGACTACCGAGAAGCCGTCAACCCCTTAGCCTCATTAAAATAGTCTTACTTCTTCTCTTAGTGCTATCTCTACACCGTCACTCATCAATCTATTTATTTTCAAGTACATTCTCTATATTTATTTTTAATGTTAATATTACTTTTTCTTCACTTAGTTTCATGTACGATAATCGCTTTTCTGTACTTTCTACTCGTTTTGTCTTCTCGCTACCAAACACTGACTGTTTCTCTCCAAATCCACTGTATGTCTAGTTCCCTAATCACATGTCAAGTTAACTCTCAATCACTTTCTGCCCATTATGACGAATTCCTGCAATACTTTACCCAAAATTTTTATCATATCATAGCAATATCCGAAACCTGGCTTAAACCTTATATTCCATCATCTTCAGTATCCTTGCCGAATTACATCCTGCTCCGTCATGACCGGGTAAACCGGACTGGCGGTGGAGTAGCCATGTTTGTCCACAATAGCCTAAAGACCCGAATCCTGGATTGCTCCCCATCTTCCGATCATCCTCATGTAGAATACCTCTTAGTAGAAATTCTCAGTAATATTTCTCCTATCCTTTACGCCGTGGTATATCGCCCTCCTCTCGTGCCATTTGACCCGTCCTTCGAATCAACTCTATTCAACTTCGTTCCCCTCTATCCCAGAATAATTATCTCCGGTGACCTCAATACCAATTTCCTCTCAAACTCCAATGACAAATCCTATTTAGAAAATCTGTTTTTCTCACTTCACCTATTCATCGTTCCTTTTTCCTCCACCCACCACACCACCAGATCTGACACTTGGCTAGACTACTACATCATCGACTCAGCACAAAACCTCCTCTCCGCCTCTCAATTGCCAGTATCCTTTCTTTCATCTCATGATCTGATACAAATAACGTATAATATCCGCACTCCTCCAATCCATCCTCGAACTATCACTTTCCGCCAACTGGATACCCTTACTCGAGAAAAAATATTACCTGATCTAGTAACATTGGATTTGAATGGAATATATCATTGCTCCTCTGTCGACACCATGGTTGATATTCTCACCACCAATCTTCTCAATATACTTAATACCCACGCTCCTCTGAAAACCTCCACTTTCCGTCATCGTCCTGCTCCTTGGATGTGTCAGGAAATTAAGGATCTGCAGAAGAGACGCGACGCTGCACGCAGACGCTTCAGACGGACTAGGCTTGCAGATGATTATCAAATATTCAGAGTGCTTCGTAACACGACACAGACAAGGATCCGACAAGCGAAAGCGAACTACTTTCACGAAGCCCTTTCCTCAGCTCCTGATATCAAATCAAAATGGCTTCTACTTCGTAAGCTTTCCCTCTGTGAACCTTCTAGATCCCCTTCCTCAGTTTTCCCAATATCACCTGATGACCTAAACTCCCACTTTATATCGGTTTCCACCTCTTCTTTACCATCCCCTTCCGGCTTTTCTCCAGAGGTACCTTTTAACGACAATAATTTTTATTTTTCCGACATTTCTCCCACAGACCTTATTACCGTTATAATGAAATCCCGTTCCAATTCCGTAGGCCCAGATGGCATTCCTATCAAACTAATAAAATTATGTCTCCCTGAAATTCTCCCAGCACTCCTTTTCATCTACAATTTCTCCCTGCAGAATTCAATATTCCCGACCTCTTGGAAAAAAGCCATTGTCCTTCCTTTAAACAAAAAGCCTAATCCATCCTCTCCCGAAGATTTCCGCCCAATATCAATCCTTTCCAATCTTTCTAAACCCCTAGAAAAGTTAGTGCAATCCCAAGTTTCCAACTACCTTGAACAATCCAACCAACTCGATCCTCTCCAATCTGGCTTCCGTCCTGGCTACTCTACACAATCTGCTCTGATTAAAATTACTAGTGATATCCAGACTGCAATAGATGACAAAAAACTAACCATACTTATACTGCTTGATTTCTCCAAAGCTTTCGATTCCATTATCCATTCCATCCTTTTCAACAAACTAAAATCATTATCCTTCTCCAATAGTTCCATCTCTTGGTTCCAGTCTTTCCTCTCACAACGAACCCAAGCAGTTTCCATACCTAATCAACCTCTATCTGCCTACCTTCCTTTATCCTCAGGAGTTGCACAGGGTTCAAGCATGTCTCCTCTTCTTTTCAGTTCTTATATTAATGACCTAAATGATTCAATTATCCATTGTTCCCACCACCTTTATGCCGACGATTCTCAAATCTATTTGTCCTTTTCTCCCGCTGAGTTATTGGTGGCATTTGCCAAAATTCAAGAAGATTTAGATCGAATTAGTGCCTGGGCCAACTTAAATGGATTAAGGCTAAATGCTGCCAAAACTCAGGCCATTCTCATTGGTTCCAAGCCCCTTCTTAGATCCCACACCAACTTTCCCTCACTCTATCTAAACAACCACCCCATCACCTTCTATCCCTTTGTTAAAAATTTAGGCTTTCTCATAGATCAAACCCTTTCCTGGAATCACCATATCTCTCATATATCCCGCCGTGCAATTTCTACCCTCAAACTATTCCATCACTTCCGCCATCTTCTACCCCAAAATACCCGTAGACTCATAGTTTCCTCTCTCATCTTTCCCCACTTTGACTACAGCTGTGTGGTGTACGATGGCCTCTCGGTGGAACTGCGTGATAGACTCAAAAGACTTATGAATTGCTTCGTAAGATTTGTAATTGGAACCCCGAGACGCTCCCGTGTCTCCCACCACTACACTGAGTTAGGGTGGCTCTTCCCCTCCTTAAGAAGACAATATTTCCTTGGCACTTTCCTTTATCAAATCATTACCGATCATCGTCCTTCTTATGCCTACAACCTTCTCCAATTTAAGTCCTCAATCCATTCTCTCACTACAAGATCACGACCCTCTGAGCTATACATCCCTTCTCATAGATCTGCCTCATTCCAAAATTCCTTTATAGCCCGCTCTGTCAACTTTTGGAATTCCCTCCCGATCAAAATTCGACATGCCCCTTCCCTGTATACATTCAAAAACCTCCTATTCCAATTCCTGTTCCAAAAACAGTCTGATACCAGCTAACTATTGATATTATATATGTATTGTGTAGCAATCATATAATCATAACACTTGGTAATAGATAGTACATGCATTTCCTACTATCGACGTAGGAATTTCAATACATACATTTTTTTTATATATTTTTTTTTTATTCAATTATAAGTAACTGTTTATTTATATATATATATATTCAAGTAAAGTTTTTTTTTTTTTTTTTATGAAATGAACTCATTGTATCTCTTTTTCGTTCTTCATTTCTCAAAGTGTATGTTTATGTTGTTCAACCCTTAAATATAATTTTGTTCATAGTTCAAGTGATTCGTTCATAGTGTTAATTGTTTTGTTCATAATTTTAAATGCTCTGTGCATAGTTTTATCTGTTTGTATATAGCTTGTGCACCTAAGATTTTCTTTACTTTTTATTTTATTTTATCAATTTTATTTATTGTTTCAACGTTCAGGCCAGTAATATTCTATTATTTTGTACATTATTGTTATTCTGAAGGGACTTAGTCCCAGAATAAAATTTTTTTTTCTATCTTTCTATCTATCTATCAATATTTAAATTTATAAAACCTGAACATAATTTGTACACCATGGCAACCAACCTAATAGGATTTCGGGAAGAATTCTGATATATCTCAAAAACGGCTCATTAGATATAAAGACAACGCTTGGTCTTCATACCCAGATATAATATAAATTTAATAATACACTCAATATCTGTGTGGTGATCTGTGAGGTGGATATCTGACTAATTGATTGGATGATAAACATCCTCATATAAACATCACACTTATAAACGAAATGTTAGATCAGAAACTATCATCACATGGAAGAGATTGAAAGAAAGAGGATGTTACGTTCAAGCTCAATAATATGTCAGGGACATTTCCGTTTTTAAACTAGAAGGATTTTTATTTCTCTAATTAATGAATACACCAAACAAATACTATGTATCAAATAATGGAAACTTTTTAAAAACAATATAAAGCAAACACAAATAAACATTTTAAACGTAACATTACATAGATTCAACTAGTGTACATAAAGTGATGATTGAATTTTAAACTTCGTGACAGATACACTTCCAAAACTACTTTTATTAATAATACTGAAGTTGACAGGTAGGAGGTCATTCCTAGAAGTAGTGGTGTGGTGGTGAGGTCAATTATGATCCTGCGATGGCGGGAAGATAGGCTGACCGAACTGAACCAAGATGACCAAGTACGTGGTAGCTGTGGCGATCATCTGGAAGCAGAAGAAGAACAGTAATCTGTAATTTCGTTTCCACTCATTTCTGAAGATATTTATGATATTATTCTCGAACGACAAATCGGTTTTTTTTTGTGAACGGTTTTCAAGGAACTGTCGTTCACTCCATATTATCGAAAAAAGAGGGAAAATTAGTAAGAGGTGTGCCGGAAATAATAGGATAAGACATTTCTTCAAATTTTGACAGAAAAAATGTCAAGAATGATTTTTATCAATGGAAATTGTGGAAAATCGGTTTAAATATTTTATTTATTATGTTTTTTTTATTGTAATGGTGACCTTCTATTGCAATGGTGACCGAGAAAAAGTGGTTATGTATACATCCGTGTGAAGATTTTTTCCAAGACAGGAAAATACTGCAATTGTAATTGTTAATTATATATTAGTTTTGCTGTTTTATTAACATTCTGAACACTCGATTGTTTTTACAAATAAAAAGCTAGGGTGTGTACTTTAGACCACACGAGAGAAGTGAGAACATCGACAAGGCGAGATTAATTATATAAATTATGAATAATAGCTTATAATAAAGGGAATGAAATGCTGAACACTTTTCACACACTTTCAGTATGCAGGTCCGGTTTTTGGTATCTAAGATTTTTTAATCTATATCTTCAATAAAACTGGTTATCTTTTGGTTGTCAACACTGTCTTTTCGTTTCCGCCTCTCTAGCACACCGTCGCGTTAAGATACGATTTTTAACAATAGCTCATTACAAATACAATGAAATGCTGAACATTTCTCTCACTCACAACAGATTGTCCGGTTTTTAGTTTTTGAGATATTTTAATCCATATGCAAAAACACTTCAATTAATCGACTCCAACCGACTTTACCCGAGCGTTATACACCTGAATCGGACGACTCAGTCTAATTCACTCTCCACAAAAAAGTACAAGAAGCATCTAAAGAAGTTTTCATTTCAAAAAGATTTTTATTTTTGTATGAATAACAAATTGATAACTAGATCCTTCCTAATAATGGGGCATATTATGTGAGTAGATTATTATTTTAATAAATGTACATAAAATATATAAATTAAATTAAGTAAAAATTAAAAATAGTAATAATTTGAAAATTAAGAATAACTGGTTAGGAATAGAACCATATCAGATCATACCCGGGACTTGAAACGTTTTTCTGACTGGAAAGAACACAGGTAGTGGTGGGGAGTTGGCCGGGACTACTTATGCCTGGGTAGGGATTGTGAAAAGTCAGTCGTGAGTTGGGTTCACCGTTCGCTCGTGGTCGATTCAGTTTCGGGTATTGGTGACAGCTATTTATGGAGTTGAGTGCGTTATAACGTTTCATTTCAAATCGATTTTTTTTTAGTTCGTTGGTTCCCAGAAACATCAATGATGAAGAGATCTTTGGAGAGTTCATCGTCCGATGCCCACACAAATGAGAAGAGGAGACGCAAGAAAGAAGCTGCGATCGAATTATTGCTTTCAGCTTTAAGACAGTGCGCGTCGATAAGGACTATAAAAATCTTCCTTCAAGATGTTGATGACATAAATACCGTCTATGGGTCTTACAACAGAAGCCTACTACAACTTGCCTTAGACTGGAATTGCGATGTAGATATCGTTGAAGCAATTATTGCTAAAGGAGCCGATATAAATTGTAAAGATAACATTGGGATGACACCTCTACACTTGGCCGTTAGCAAGAAGAAACTCTTAGAGTGTGTCCCTAAGCTTCTAGCACTCGGAGCTGATGTAAATGCTAGGAACAACTCTGGAGAAACGCCACTATACATCGCGGTGTGCCACTTAAAGGAGTTTAACATCATCTACATGCTCCTCGAATATGGAGCCAACATTGACTATGTGTATGATGATTTTTTGATAGAAATAGGATGTTTCACAATTTTAGATAAATCAGTTGTGTTGGGATTCTACTTATGTGCCAAACTTCTTATAAAGATTATATTTTTAAAGAAGTTTCGTAATGATCTTCCGGAACTACGTAAATTGAAAACAGTCTCGATGTATTACACAGAAAACTTGCTTGAATTTATGGAATGTTGCATTCGCGAACTAGATCGAATGCAAAAAACGAAACTCAATTCCACATCTTCCGTGTTGGATTATGCTATTTTCGGAAATGATCGCTGGACCGAAACGTTATATGTGATTCCCGATTTGACTGATTCGGAGTTGACTGTGATGTTCCCGGTGTATCACGATATCATAATAGAGAACATTGCATCCGCCTTACGAAGAGCGGATTGTATTAATAAATTGAATCATCTGCAAAAATTCATTTTTTTATACCGAAACGACTCTGAAGCGAAAAACAAATACGTCGCTTTAAATTTTTACTGCATATCAAAAATATGTAGTTTTTTGCGCGATCAGGATCTACTGAATTTTACCAATGCATTCAACTTCAGTTGAGAATCTCAGGAGTAAAACCTTCTTAAAACCTCAGGAGTACTTGCCGCTTCTTTATGGTAAGTTGGATTTTACTATCCAAAATTTAAATTTCTTAATCTTTATAATTATATATTTATCAATTCAGCAAAATACTTCAAAGAAAAAGTAAAGTTGATAAAACATCCATCTTAATAAAATAAAAACATAAATCTGTATCCTACTGGATAACTTACACCAAACAAGAATCACAAATAAAATACAGTACAAAAAAAAATTATAACAAAAATCAAAACAGTCCAAAACTAGCCAGTTGAAAAATAGCTATCAAAATAAAAATATAAATAAGAACCCGAATTTAATCACAAATTCTTTCAAAAATAAGATTATAATGAAATACTTAATAGCTAGAAAAAATAAGAACAAAACTTGTCAAATATCAAAAAAATAGAACAATAACGCGAAGTATTATTCAATGGTGGACATGGCTAAGGAAGTTTTTGTAATTTTTTGCTTATGTCACCTAAATTATTATTGTTATAAACTTCTCTATTGTATATTTAGAGTCTCTAGGATCTCCTTTTTCTCTATTTAACACTTTAAAATTGAAAAAAAAAAAAATCAGTTATGCAGATCCTTTCAATAAATAACCATCGAATTTACCGCAGCTTGGCGCTTAATTTTTTTTAATTGTTTCAGAAAACCTAAACAGAAGTTGTTAGCTAATTGTTTTTTAATCTTATGTAAACGTTATGAATCATATAAATAGTATTCACATATAAAATTAGTGAGCGTTGGAAATATGATAAAAAAAAATTAACGAACAGATAATATAGCGTATAATGTAGCAGGGGTAACCAGAAGAGGAATGCATGGCATCGAATGCGCCATCAAAATTTTTGAGGGAGCCAATTTTTATAGAACTTTTGGTTTTAGAAGGGAGGGGGGAGGGCAGGCACATATTTACAGACTTTTAGGAATTCTTTCGTTAGTAGAAAATAATGGTCGATGGAGATTCCTTGGAAGTTCCTCCCGGATAAGTCCGATGAACTCGTTGACCAACAATGAGAGGGGCACTTCAGACTTGCTGGAGGGTGTGACGTAGGTTTGGACTTCCTATTCAAACATCTTTAGTTCACCATAAATTACAAATAGTCATGGATCTCCCTAAAGTAAAATAATGAAATACAAATTAAATTTTAAATCACACTTAAATAAATAACTCAATCCTTATTACAATAAAGATCCATTGATGAATACTGACAGTGCCGGCTTTAGACATTTGGTGTCCCCGGGCAATGAATTCATCTCTCCTTCCCCTAAAAATATTAATTTGTTTCTTAAGCTCTTTAATAATCAAGGCTAAGTCTACTCACTTTATCCAGGAAATAATATAAATATATATATATATATATATATATATATATATATATATATATATATCTTAGAAATAAAGAAATTAAATAATACATGCCATAAATAAGAACTAAAATGATTCTCTTAATATATATAATATATTTAATAAAATAAACAAATAAATACTTTAAACCAGTAAACATAAACAAAGAATTCTTAGAACTTGCAATTAAATTTAAAATTTTTACTGATGAATTATAATTAATTGTTATAGTATAAAATAAAATTATAATATTAAAAATTTCAATTAAAATACAATGAAATTAATTGAATTGTTAAATCAATTATAATTTAAAATGGTGATATAATCCAAGTTATATTTTTTCTATATAAATATATTTTTTTAAATAATATTTTTTCAAGTCAAAAAACTTGTTAAATATTTGTTTGTCCATTTATATTAAAGTTCTCAACGTGCTCAACGTAACTATTCATAATCTTCTACAAAACATTCATTAAAAATATAAATTACATTTTTTATGTTTTTTTTTTAGTGTGACATACGTATATTTTCTTTGCAGATATAAAATAAGAACTAAAAGGGTTATATATATATATATATATATAATACGTAAAAGTAAATATGATATAAATTGATAACAATCTACTTAGAATTCTTAAGGCATAAAAAAATAATGTAAAAAAACTCTAAAAGGACGATTTTTCTTAACCATTTTACTGTGATTGAGTGATTAGTGTTAGTGCAAAAAAAGTTTACATAGGGGTCACAATAAATATTCTACTGTTATTTTCTTGGACTTTGTATTTTCCTTTGAGCTATAATATAATATAAATCGTTATCACATTTCATTCAAATTTACTCTCCCAATAACAACAAGTTTAGAATTAAATTTTATTATGAGAAACATTTTTAAAATAATCATTCCTTGCACATTCGATGTCACTAGCTACCTTACTCCAAGAATACATACAAGTTTTAGATAAAATAAAATACTTGAAAATTGGTATTTTGTCCCCAATTTTAGCAATTCATTCCACTGTGCGACGATCCTGGTTGCGGGGATATTGTCCTGGTTGCGCAACCCTAAGGTCGCCACTGAATACAGACAATTATATTTTCTTAGCTAAAGAAAAGCTAAAATAGGAATAGTGACTATAGATTTGACAAGAGAAAACTGATTAATGTAATAATGTACTGGAGTAATGGAGTATTCTGTATAAATACAGAATAATCATACATCATTCATAAATACTATACATCATACACAAATACATATAATCATACATGAATACAGAAAATTAAGTACATGCTAGAAAATTAAATAATATAAAACATAAATGCAGTAAATTAAATTGTATTATAATGAAAACAAATTTCAGACTCGAAAATGGCTCGAGTATAGGCCGAAACGTCGTTACGTAGGATATTGTAAAATGCAATGAAGTATTAGTGGAAAATAATGGCTTCGACTTTATGAAAAGTGATATCTTTTTGACACCAGAAATAGGTAAAATTAATATAATTTATAAATATATCTGTATTATCATTTTGTTCACTGAAATATTATTACTGTATTTAAAAAAGAAAGAAATGTTTCAGATTAATCAAGAGAAATTGAAGAACAAGGCAAGGCTAAATCTGGCTGCATTCCACAAACGACGTTATAGAACTTCACAATAAGAAAAAATATGTAAATTTGACTTAAATGTTGATTATGTAACATATTTATAAATTATAATTGTATATACTTACATTTTTATTATTATTATTTTTATATTCTTCTTTATTTTTAATTGTTGTGAAACAAATTAACATCTCAAATAATAGAAAATTGATTTAATTAATAGAACTTCACAATAAGAAAAAATATGTAAATTTGACGCCAATGTTAATTATTTAACATGTTTATAAATTATAATTGTATATACTTATATTGTTATTTATTATTTTGAAAATATACTGTTTAAATCCTTCTTTGTTTTTAATTGTTGTGAAACAAATTAACACCCCAATTAATAGAAAATTGATTTAATTAATAGAACTTCACAATAAGAACAAATATATAAATTTGACTTAAATGTTAATTATTTAACATATTTATATATTATAATTGTATATACTTATATTTTTATTTATTGTTTTTAAAATATACTTTTTAAATTTTTCTTTATTTTTAATTGTTGTGAAGCAAATTAACATATCAAATAATAGAAAATTGATTTAATTAATAGAACTTCACAGTAAGAAAAAATATGTAAATTTGACTTAAATGTTAATTATTTAACATGTGTATAAATTATAATTGTATATACTTATATTGTTATTTATTATTTTGAAAATATACCGTTTAAATCCTTCTTTGTTTTTAATTGTTGTGAAACAAATTAACACCTCAATTAATAGAAATTTGATTTAATTAAGTTTTTAACTAGTCTAAAGTGATAGGTCTATTGGTAATCTAAAAAACAAAAAGCAATATGACTTACAAGTTTTAAAATTAATACACTACTTCGTAAGTGTTGCTCCACTTTGATGAGTGGAAGACATGACAACATGAGTTGAGCAAACGAGACAAGTATAACTTCCGTTTATTTATATCGCACTTCATGATTTCTCAAAGCCCCTAACGGTTTTTCCAGTTAAAATCGGTGTCTTAATTAGCTTTATTGATATCACTGCTTTCGATTCTCGTTCAAAATGGATGAACAAACCCATGAACGTTCTTATCCAATTGAGGTCGGTGTATAACCAGAGAGTTAGTCACCTCCGTCTATTATCGGAAACACTCGGACGTTTTCGGATTCCTATCTACAGCGGAATCATGTGATCTTTATCACACCCATCATGGTGGATAAACACTCGTAAAGTAATACCAAAATTAAAACAATGCTTTATTCGTAAACAAAACAACGGAAAATAAAATAAATGAGCCACAATATCTCTCATATTTATTCGAAATAGGAAAGATATTGCAAAAAAATGAGCTGACAGAACTGGGTTCGAAGCGATAGTTTGATGATATGATATGTACATAAAAACATTGCTGAATTTTATCGAACTTATTTTAATATGTAACATATCATTAACATCTGGTCTTACGTTTCGAAATGACAGCCGAAAAATGTGTATCGGTATAGACTAGAGCACCAATATGGCAGTAAAGATTTTGATGAGACCTCGATGAATTATTCTCCTTAAAGCCTTTTTAATTTATGTATACATCATACTTCCCCGAAAAGAAGTTGAATAAAAAAGTAAAGATGGATGCAGAATTTTATTTTTCGTTCATTAAACCTATAACGATTCCTAAATTCTCTACAATATGAAAAAAAAAAACAATCATCCAAATCGAAAAAGAATTCGATAAGATATTTTGTAACATTTTTAAAAAATGTTTTTCGGTTTATACTTTTTAGAAGATCTCTAATATAGACCTTGGCAGAATTTATTTGAAATGATATTTCCGAAATAAATCGTTAAATAACCTTCCCCCGTTATTTCGGCAATAATTTATTTCATGAATTAACTTATTATTTTCGAAATAATTGTTTCTGAAACTAGTTATTTCAGGGTTAATGAGATGATTATTTCTGAAATAATCATTCTGATAGATGCAAAAAGGGACTGAAAGTGCGTTTAAATATACTCAACTGCTTTGTTAACATATTTTCCATATGTACCCACGCGTAAAAAGAAAAACGTACTAATACATAAACATATGTATAAATTTATTTTCATGTATTGTTTTATATTGTCCGTTTTACAATAATTATGTTGATTATACTAATTATCTATCTTTATTTTTACACATAATATCAACTCCCGAGACATTTTCTGGAGGAGTCTATTGTGCATTTTCGGCATATTTTGCTTTTATATTTCAAAAAAGACAAGCAAGATTCGCTGCCCTACCGAAAGATGTGTAAGGTATGCCTTGACAGAATGTACTGTTCAAAAATGCTTCGCCTAGTTTAGTTTAGATACGAGTCTCAAAGATTCACTCGGCAAGTTAAATAGCTATAGTTATTATCACTATCTTTTCTCTCTTTATTATTGCTAATATTGTTAATGCCTTTGTCTCAAAGAGCCTCAGTTATTGCCCCAAACAGTTAGAATAGACCTGCTTTAGCCATTGATAGATTTACGCTGTCATTCTCGAGGAAATATTGACAAATAGTCCTGCACTTTATGGCTACAGCTCTATTTTGTGTTATTTACAATCGCCTATAGTGTCCCATAAAAGATACCTGCTTTTGTATATTGAGCCTCTCTCCTCCCAAAGGTTCGTAGTTAGCACATGCTTTTATAGTTAGTGCATTATTACTTTCAACAAAAAAACAACTTTCCCACGGGAATAGTTGATTTTTAGTTCGTCGAAGACAATTACATAAATATCAATATTTAAATTTATAAAACCTGAACAAAATTTGTACACCATGGCAACCAACCTAATAGGATTTCGGGAAGAATTCTGGTATATCTCAAAAACGGCTCATTCGATATAAAGACAACGCTTGGTCTTCATACCCAGATATAATATAAATTTAATAATACACTCAATATCTGTGTGGTGATCTGTGAGGTGGATATCTGACTAATTGATTGGATGATAAATGTTGACAAAAACGAAATGTTAGATCAGAAACTCTCATCACATGGAAGAGATTGAAAGAAAGAGGATGTTACGTTCAAGCTCAATAATATGGCAGGGACATTTCCGTTTTTAAACTAGAAGGATTTTTATTTCTCTAATTAATGAATACACCAAACAAATACTATGTATCAAATAATGGAAACTGTTTAAAAACTTTATCAAGCAAACACAAATAAACATTTTAAACGTAACATTACATAGATTCAACTAGTGTACATAAAGTGATGATTGAATTTTAGACTTCGTGACAAATACACTTCCAAAACTACTTTTATTAATAATACTGAAGTTGACAGGTAGGTGGTCATTCCTAGAAGTAGTGGTGTGGTGGTGAGGTCAATTATGATCCTGCGATGGCGGGAAGATAGGCTGACCGAACTGAACCAAGATGACCAAGTACGTGGTAGCTGTGGCGATCATCTGGAAGCAGAAGAATAGTAATCTGTAATTTCGTTTCCACTCATTTCTGAAGATATTTATGATATAACGTATAGATATTATTCTGGAACGACAAATCTTTAACCATGAAGTACATTAGTTTATTTAAAAAACTGATTCTACCTTCCTGAAGTGTTTTTAACTAAATATGATTAATGGCCATTCCATATCATGCAGAGCCCGGCAATCATCCCTCGTAGATTTCAAAGAAAATTTATATATATTACAGTCTAGGCTAGGGAACTCGCGGTGCTGTGCGCAAGCGTCAGCCCATTCGGCCACCCCGCCACTTATACACAGCATACTTATCAGTCCATATGGACATAACTATTATATTACATTTTTACTTTCCTACCTGTACTAGGTAAGGAAAATATTGCAATCGGGTCAAATTTCCGATATGCGGTTTTCGACGGATCTATACGTTTCAGAGCCTCCTGAATCCGAAAAACACATTTTTAGCCATTGGTCTGTCTGTCTGTCTGTGCCAAGATTTTCTCGGGAACTACTGAACCCATTTCGTGGCTTCTTTTTTATTTTGTAGAGTTTTGACTACTGTTGGCTGTGACAGATATTCGGTGCTCCATGCGCAATAGCTTGCGCGCAATAAATGAAAAACATGTTTTTCTATTGACTGTAGCGCAAAAACGGCTCTAACGATTTTGATGAAACTTTCCTATAATGTTCTAATCATTGTTCTTTCAATTGTCGTATATAGACTAAATTTCCCAAAAAATTCAGGAAAAAAAGTTATAAAGAAAAGAAAAATGTTTTAGGGACTAACTCCCTAAGTATATATTATACGGTAAAATTTATAATAAAACTTTTGAAAGGTAATTAAATTACCAACAAAACAAAAACAAAAGATCATCGGAATGGAACCAGTATTAGCGATGATACAGCTTATTATATTTATTTTTTTTTTAACTTATTACTTTCCTATCTATACTAGGTAAGGAAAGTATTGCAATCGGGTCAAATTTCCGACATGCAGTTTTCGACGGATCTATACGTATCAGAGCCTCCTGAATCCGAAAAACACATTTTTAGCCATTGGTCTGTCTGTGCCAAGATTTTCTCGGTAACTACTAAACCGATTTCGTTGCTTATTTTTTTATTTTGTAGAGTTTTGACTACTGTTGGCTGTGACAGATATTCGACATGCGCAATAGCTTGCGCGCAACAAATGAAAAACATGTTTTTCTATTTACTGTAGCCGTTTTGCCTGTCTTTTGAAAGCTCTTGAAATTCCCTACAAAGCCATATAAAAATCGTTCATTTTGGGCAACTATTAACGAAGTTACAGCTATTCAATTTCCAATGTAAGATTACAGTTTCATATCCTAGTGTCAGAAAGGGATGAATGAGAGAATAAAGATGACTAAGTGAAAGTAAGAAAATCTGTGGCCCGCATCACACAATCTTCACTATTTCCTATAATTTCAACATAAATTATTGTTTGTCAATACTAAGCTATGCCAAAAAGTTTGTGATCAGCAATATTAGAAAGTAATGAATTTTTTACACTGATCTATCTTAAACCGGTTTACATTGCTTTAGTTTATCAAATAAATCGTACTCAAATCTTATGTTTGATCAATTTTCAGGAAAATGTATTTAGTTCAATTCTTTTATGTTTCTTCATGAACATATGTAAAGATATAAAAACTTTTTGAAATAGGTAGGAAAGTCGTGTGAGTGGACACACCAGATTTTTTTATTTTTATGTTATACACATATCATTGCACCCTTTTCTCCAAATTGAAATCGTTATTCTTTTCCAACAACTCTATCCTTTGGTTTCAATCATTCCTCTCTCAACGTACCCAAGCAGTCTCTATCCCGAACCAACCTGTGGCACAGGGCTTCAGCATATCTCCTCTCCTTTTTAGTTCATATATTAACGACCTTCATAAATCAATCCTTCACTGTTCACATCACCTTTATGCCGATGATTCCCAAATTTACCTCTCCTTCGCTCCCTCTGAATGGCATGATGCGTTTGCCAAACTACAAGAAGACCTAAATCGGATTTGTGCCTGGGCAAGTGAAAATGGATTAAGGTTAAACGCTGCTAAAACCCAAGCCATTGTCCTCGGTTCCAAACCCCTTCTCAGATCAAATACCAACATTCCTCTCCTGTACCTGAATGACCAACCCATCACCTTCAACACTTCAGTTAAAAACTTAGGTGTTATCATAGATCAAACCCTCTCCTGGAATCACCATATTTCCCTCATATCCCGACGTTCAATTTCCATCCTGAAACTCTTCCATCGCTTCCGCCATCTCCTACCCATATCCACACGTAGACTCCTAGTATCCGCCCTTATCTTCCCCCACATTGACTACGGCTGCGTAGTGTACGGTGGCCTCTCATCGGAACTTGGAGTCAGACTGAAAAGAATAATGAATGGCTTAGTACGATTTGCCAATGGGACCCCGAGACGTTCTCATGTTTCCCACTACTACGCCGAGTCAGGGTGGCTCTTCCCCTCCTTCAGAAGACAGTACTTCCTAGGTAAATTCCTTTACCAAATAATCTATAATCATCGTCCGTCCTACGCATTCAATCTCCTTCAATTCAAGTCATCTATCCACTCCCTCTCCACAAGATCTCATCCTTCCGACCTTTATACCCCTTTCCACAAATCGGCCTCATTTCAACACTCCTTTATTGTCCGATCCACCACATTTTGGAATTCCATCCCACTTAAAATCCGCCATGCACCATCCTTATCCACATTTAAAACCCTCCTTTTCCAATTTCTCCTTACAATTCAATCAGACGCTGGGTAGCCTATATTGTATTATTATACTATTGTTGCATTGTATATATATATATGTGTATGTATGTATATGTATATATATATTAATATATGTATATTGTATATATACTATTGTACTATTATTGTATTCTCACTATTATTGTATTATTGGGTGTATATATTGTGTATGTACGATTACACTATTATTGTATTTCGATTATACTATTATGTTCTACGAACATACTACTATTACTATAACATCTTTATTATTATTTGTCGCTCATTTATAATTTCATAGCGTATTGTGTATAGCAACTATTTTGCAGTATTAGGACATTATTTCTCATATTATGGCATCCGATATCTGTACAGTTATGTAAACACTTCTTTTATCCCTTATTTTTTAGTTGTCTTTTTTGTTTGTTTGTTTGTTTTTGTTTATTATAATATACATTTTGGCCAGATGTAATGTTTAATTTTATGTACAATATTGTTATTCTCAAGGGACGTAGTCCCAGAATAAAGTTGATTCTTCTATCTATCTATCTTCTATCTATCTTTCTTTTCCTTTTTTTCTCCGTTTTCATAACATTAAAAAAATAAAAATAATAAGGCTTAGCGAACCCGAAGGTTCGATGCCGACACCACCAATCGCTTGTTACACACCTCCCTCCACCGTTCGCCGTCCAAACCCAGTCCCTTCAGATCGGCTTTAATACAATCTTCCCACCTTCGCTTCGGTCTACCCCTCGGACGCTTACCATTCGGCACAGCAAATATTAACCTTTTAGGAATTCTCTCGTTACTAAGCCCAACAACTTTACAAGCCCATTTGATTCGCCGCAATGAAATTACCTCAATTATATTACCCGGATACAGCTCACGCAATTCGGCGTTGTGTAACCGTCTGAACTCTCCGGTTAACTCATCCTTCTTCGGTCCGAATATTCTACGCAATACTTTATTTTCAAAAACCTTAAGACGCTGCTCATCCCTTAATGTAAGCGGCCAAGTTTCGCATCCATAAAGAAGTTTAGGCAAGATAATTGTTTTATAGATTCTAATTTTTAAGTTTCGGGACAAGAGGCGCGAACTGAGTAGTTTTGTCACAGAAAAATAACAAGCATTCCCCCCTTCAGTCTAACTTTAATCTCTTCTTCAATTTCGTTTTTTCTAGTTATCGTAGAACCTAGATACCTAAATTTATCTACCTGTTCAAACATATTACCATCTATGTCGATATCACCACTAGTATCGCCATTTTTGCAGCTAACCATATATTTTGTTTTATCCACGTTTATTTCGAGTCCTAGTTCTTTACCGGCTTTCATTAACGTTGTCGTATTTAGTTTTATAGTTTCAACGTCTTCGCTTAACATTACCAGATCATCAGCATAGCCCAGCACGGATGTTGTCCCGCCCAGATCCAACCCTTTCTCGCTTCGCATTACCTCCCTAATGGCATGTTCTAATGCCAAATTGAACAGGACAGGCGAAAGAGAATCCCCCTGTTTTAAGCCCGAACGAACCTCAAATTTTTCGGACAAATTATTACCGATTCTAACTTTATTGAGTGTCTCCGTCAAGCACATCCTGACTAGATTTACTAGTTTTTTTGGAATCCCCTGCTCAATTAGAATATTATACAGTTTCTGGCGGTCAGTAGAATCGTAAGCCTTTTTAAAATCTATATACAGCTGGTGAACAATACCGTTATACTCCAATTTTTTCTCTAATATTTGCCGTAAAGAAAATATTTGATCAATAGTCGACCGATTCCGTCTAAATCCGCATTGGTAGTCTCCGATAATTTCCTCGGCGTATTCCGTGATTCGACTGGTTAAGATTGAAGTGAATATTTTATAACATACCGGAAGGAGTGAAATTCCTCGATAGTTATTACAATTCGTCCTCGGACCCTTTTTGTGAATCGGAATAAGAATAGATTCTTTCCATTCTTCAGGTAATTTCTCGTTCACCCAGATCTTTTTAACCAACCGATGTATTTTAGAAACTCCAGCTTCCCCGCATGCCTTAATTAGTTCAGTTGGAATATTATCGATTCCCGCTGCTTTATATGATTTTAATTTTCCGATAGCGACTTCAACTTCCTCTTTACTTGGTCCTTCTATTAACGGTTCAGCAATCTGGTACTCAGAAGGAGGACACAGATCATAATTTCCCGTATTTAAAATATTATCAAAGTGGTCCTTAAACTTATTCAATATGTCAACCGGATCGGTCAGAATATTGTTATTATCATCCCTAATTCCAGACGTTACGGGCTCTACATATTTACGTGATCTGTTTATACCTTTGTACATGTCTCTTACGTTATTTTCGATTCTATTAGTTTCTATTTCAATTATTTTATTTTTAAGATACTCACTTTTTTTATTTTTGAGAAATTTTGTCGTTTCGTTCTTTGAGATTCGGAAGTATTCCAGATTGTCTTCGCTAGGATTATTTAGAGCTTTTAATTTAGCAGCTTTTCTTTTTTCACACATGTTTAAGCAATCTTCATCAAACCAGGGTTTGTTATTCTTATTTTCCTTTTTTCCTAGACACGAGTTACCGACCGCTTTAATATTATCCCTGATCTCTACCCATAACTTGTCAATATCCTCGTGGTCCTCTTCAGGAAGCTCTAAAGCTTCAAACCTATTCTTAACATCTACCTCGAATTGGTTTCTAATTAATGGATTTTTTAATTTTTCCAAATTAAAATTCTCAAAATCGAAACGGTTTTCTTTTCTCTTTTTTATATTAAGTTTTTGTCGAAGTTTCGCGATTACTAATTCATGATCCGACCCACATTCTGCTACCGTACATTAATTATACTGCTTTGCCAGCTGTGTTGTATCAAGACATGATCGATTTGATTTCGTGTTTGCGAATCCGGTGATGTCCAAGTATATTTATGAATATCCTTATGTTTAAACGTCGTACTTTTAATTATCAGGTTTTTCGAGATGGCAAAGTTTATCAGACGGATCCCATTATCATTACTATATTCGTGCAAACTTTCTTTACCAATCGTCGGAATATAAACCTCTTCCCTTCCTACCTTTGCGTTGGCGTCACCTACAATTATTTTCATGTAGTTTCGCGGTAGTTTATCATAAACCCATTCGAGTTTATCGTAAAATTCACTTTTGACTTCATCGTCACTGTCTTCGGTCGGACAATGTATGTTTATTAATGCGATTTTAAACCAACGTCCCTGAAATGTAGCTACCGAAATTCTATCACTAAAGAATTGTACGTCCCTCAAAGCGGATAGTAATCTACTCCTAATTAGAAACCCGGTACCTAAACAATGATTCCCGCTTCCTCCGTACCAAATAGTGTACTTCCCTTCCCTCATCGAGCCCTCCCCTGGCCAGCGAACCTCTTGCAGAGCTACGACATCCAAATTGTACCCATTTACCTCATTCGCGACCGATTTTAGCCCCCCTGCTGTGTTTAAACTCCTTACGTTCCACGTACCAATATTTAAATCCCTATATTTCAACTTGCGGCATGAATCCCCTAAAGCAGTCCCCACCCGGAGACCCGAACGGGGGACTAGTTTACCTCCGGATAATGAGCGTTTTACCTTAGGGAGATCCATGACTTTTTGTGGTGTTTGGTGAACTAAAGATATGTGAGTAGGGCGTTCAATCCTACGTCACACCCTCCAACAAGTCTGGTGGGCCCCTACCTCCAGCAAGTCTGGAGATCCCCTCCCTCCAGCAAGTCTGGAGGGCCCCTCTCATTGTTGGTCAGCGAGTCCATCGGACTTAGCCGGGAGGAACTTCCAAGGAATTTCCACCGACCATCCCCACATCCGCCACCCGTGGGACGCTCCCCGTACGCGGTAATGAGCCCGCGCGAGGGTTTTCATAACATTAGTCCTATAAAATATGAATGACACTTCTAATGTAAAATGAGTATTCTAAAATTTAAAAAAATCGTACAATAAATGTTGTAGCAAGGTTGTGTTTCAACCTTTCAAATAGTTTTTACAATTTTACAATCTGACCACAAAAACATTCGCGGGCCGGACTGAAGGCGTTTGCTCACCGGATCTGTAGCTCGGAGACCCCCGTCTAGGCGATGAGTGTGCAAAAATCGCGCACCGCAGTTTCTCTTCAAATTCTTGTCCGGGACATCCTACTCAATAGGAAACTGCATGTTTCACCTCAGAATACGGTAGTTTTGGGCTACAGATTAGTAGATGCCCTGAAGTTATGATTCTCTATAACTCGATTATGGATCTTCGTAGCGACTCGAATTTGAACCCAAATTGTTCGTATGTCAATGCTCAAAATTATCTAATGTTTTTGTACATGACATTTTTTATAAATCCAAAAGGAAGCGAACTATCGAGCATTCAAAGTGGGTAAAGTTAAAAAATTTGACAATTAAATTATTGTATTAATATGTGTTCATTAATACAATCATTTTAGCACAATAACTATGCCACTTATGAGTACTAAATGATATGGCAGACACTAGACGCCTATGCTAGTGCCACTTTTAAGTGTATTTTCGAAGGAACTGCTTCAAATATTTGAAAAGTAATCAGAGTTTTAGAAAGAAAATTTCATTCCCCACATGTTTTATTTAGGATGTTTTTCGACATTGTTGGCCGTTTATTTACAAAAGATGCTTAATTTTCAACTTCAGTTTGAACGAATTGAAAAACTTGGTTATACTGGTGTTTTCTATTACCAAGACCAATTATTTTTTCTTGTTTTCTTATTCTCTAACTATTTATCTTTAGAATTAACTCAAGTCAAAGACATAAATCTGCTATGTTTGAACGCCATTTTGCGTCAGTGAAGCCACTTTATTTATGGGAACATTTGCTTTTCTTTAATAAATAGTTACAAGGAACACAACTATATGCAATTTATAGGAACGTGGGGGGCTCTGACCCACCGTGTAACATATTTTTCAAAACACCAACCAACTACCGTCTACCGTTCCAGTCAATGACTCATTACCTTCAAGAATAACCTCCTACTTTTTATGCTAAATAATTTAAACGATTTTTATAAACGATTACATAACAATCATGCGCCACATATCAGATAAAATGAAATATATTGTACCAACATGGCAACAAATCATATTCCTCCAAAGACATTTAAATTATTTTCCATGAAGAACAAGAACAACATCCGCATTCAAAGAAGGCTGCGTATTGGAAATACTAGAAAAAATATTTTATTAAAATAAATTTTGTAGTCCCGATTTAAGCTATTTGTTAATATTTGTTGAAACAAAACTGGGATGGGTGCTTAAAACCACACGATAGAAGTAAATGCTTCAACAAGGTGAGCTTAATTAATATGATAATATAAATTTGTTCTTGTTCCATATTTACAATGTAATAACATTAATAATACATGCAAGTATAGTTGTGCATAAACTAGTTTTGTTCAATATTCATAAAGTAATAACATTTACAATATATACAATTATAATTGTGTATAAATTACTATAGTATGTATAGTATAGTAAATTATTATACAATACATTGCTACTCAGTATAGTAAACAGTGGCCCTCATCATCATGCTCTAAAAATGATACAATAGGTGTATGATAACGAAAATATGTGATGAATACTTTTGATTAAAATCCATTTGCTAAATATCTAACAAAAACTCCGCAATTTTGTTTATATAACTTTGATTTCATTGATTTATCGAAACAATATCAGTGCAACAGAAAATCGAAGAGAAACTTATTTTAATGGCTAATTAAAAAAAATCTATATTAACGTCTAAATAAATTATTTTCTAAATTCTCTATGCTATTAAATTTTGAGATATTCTAGTTCAAATTTTCAAAACAGTCGGTATTATTTTTATTAATTTATTTTTTTTTGCTGTTTAACACGAGATCGCGTTAACATACAATTTTGAATAATTAACTAATTACAAAGAGGATGACATGATGAAAAATACCATCGCTTATAGTATGCAGGTCCGATTTTTTACTTCCTGAATGTTTTAATCCATATACAAAAACACTTCAATTAGTCGACTCCAGTCAACTTTACCCGAGCGTTACATATCTAAAATTTAACGGCTCAACCTAATTCACTCTCCATAAAAAAGTGCAAAATGTGCCTAAAAAAGTTTTTACTTCAAAAAATATTGTCACTATGAGTGCTCGTGAAATTGGATAAAGAATATGACATTTTCGAAAAATCATAGAGAAAATGTCCAACACAAAAAACTTTATGGAAACGGACATTTTCCGTCATTTGTCCAACACGTTTAAGGTCTTTTATTTTAACACTTCAATTATTTTATTTTAAATTTTTTCTGCATTCAAAACACAAAAGTTGCAGTTTATTTTGAAATTAAAATTTTTATTTTCTATAATTCAAATTGAAAATTAGATACAATTTGAGTAATTGTTAGAATAATTACTTACTTTACTCCAAAACTTAATCGTTCTGCACATTTTGTTACTGTGACCATAGATAAAATAAACCTGACAGATAAAATCCTTACCGAATGTAGCAAAGCGTAATCCAAATTGAAGAAACCACAAGCCGTGAAAACAACCTCTTTCTTCATAGAAATGTGTAGCCACAGCTTGTCCTAGGAAATTATGCAAAGAGTGTCCAGTTTAATGTACAATTTTATTAAAAATTATTAATTTACTATTAATATTAATTTTATAAATTATGCAAACTAGATATCTTTCTTATCCTTAATTTGTGTATTCGTTAGTTCTTTCTCGGTTGCCCCAGAAAATTAACCTTGACACTCTCACTTAGTCAACATCGCGGTGGCGACCTCAAGATAGTCGTCAGGGGTTAGCAAAAAGGATCATAAGGCCCATTTACCTGACTGGCTCCGTCCCCCACCAGTACCAGTACTGAATATTGCTTCGAATTTAATCAATATTAAAGAAACACGCTTGTATCAGGGAAAATATAATATTATCCTGAAAGCCACACAATTCATGGAGAATGATATATACTTTATAATAGCTGTTCAATTAATAGTGTAATTAATAATTAATCATCTTGTCCCGCTGTAAAATATCCCTTTAGTTTAATAGTTCAGCAATAGATTCAGCTTTCCGTAAGCTATTATGAAAACAGCATTGTAATCATCGACTACGATATGACACAAAACAAGAGAGAATATGAAAAGAGCAGAGTGAGATCTATTAACAACAAACACTGGCGGATCTATGGGAGACTTTAAGGCTGAAGCGCCTATCTCCCCCAAAATTGAAAACTTCTTTTTTTTTCATTGGTCCGTATTTGTTACTGTAAGCGATCCAAGCTAAATACTTAAACAATCACAAGTCCAACAATCAAATCCTGGGTTCGCTATTGACAACTAACAAAAATAGAATTTGTCCTCATAACATTTTTATTAAAAATATCAAGATGTTTCGCAATGTCATCCGAGAAGTCCAAGGGATCTGATAGAGAATTTCTCCTGAATAAGTTCCTTTTATTTCTGTGTATTTGTTTTAATACTTTCCCTCCAGTTTTCTAGGAATAAAAGAAACCAATTTATTTTTATTTATTTAATTTAGGATTTTTATCTTGTCCATTTTGTTATAGCTTTCTTGGTTGAAATTCCAAAATAATTAGCAAAACAGTAAGTTCCCCAAGGTGATTTTTGTATTGATCATTAGGTTTATAGAAAATTTTGAAAATGTTTGAAATTTTACAGCAAGAATTTGACTATCGTTGACGCAAATTACATATCCTATAGAAATACGAAATTCCAATATCTTTTGATTAATAACTATCCGTTGAAAGTACGATTTCTTTTTAAATCTATTAAGAAATAACTTATTTACTAATTTTTTTTTTTTTACTCATTTAAACGAATTTCACAATAAAACATTATTTTCAGGACTCAACAAAAACACCAAAAGTATATTTAATGATACAACATAAGTTGCAAAATTAGTTTGGTAGAAATAGGGTTTTTGTTTATAATTTAAAGAAACCTGTATATTTATTCGTTCCTAAACTGCAATATACCAGTCAACAATGCACCACATTAAAAACATAGAAAATTTGAATTATAAAAAGACCTTGAAAATTGGGGTTTTTGTAGCTTTCGGGCCACTGTGTGCCGGGCTGGTTTTCACGCTTAAAATCCACCTACCTAGTCCTCCGTCCTAGTCCTCCGTTCCTACCCATATTTTCGAGTTCAACGTGGAACAGAATATTCGAATTGCTATTCAGTTCTTGCTGATCCCTTGCCCTATCCATTCCGATTCCTTCCTAAAAATATTTGCTGATGATCCTTGAATCATTGAACTCAGATCCTGCAATAGCATCCTGGAATCTACAAGCCTTCTGTCCCTAATTCTACTTTGGTGTAAAGATTGAGGCATTAAAGTAAATAAATCTAAATGTAAACATATCACCTTCACTCTACGACGGGGATCATGCCCGCTAATTCATTTTAACCCCATACCGCTTCTCTTCTCAGACGCAGTCCGGTATCTTGACTTCTCCTTAAGGCCTGTCCAGACGCTCCGTTTTGCACAATGTTTTGTCTGCGCAGTTCGAAATGTTGCAGATAAATCGTTGCGTGTGGACTGAAAAACTGTGCTGTTTTGCATCCATTTCAAAGACGGTACAGTTTTAGTAAAACTGAGCCACAGAGCATAGATTTCCTTGAACTGCACAGACAAGTCAGCGCATGTGGACCGTTTTCCGATTGATTTTGTTCGTTTTGTTTAACCGATTTTATTGCTCTGTATGGAAGTTTTCCGTGCATTTGGCGTGTTAAACCAAAAGAATACAGTGACAGCAATAAGAATGGAGAGGTGTATGAAATTTTAGCAAATAAATTTAAATACATTGATGTAACGGATGCAAAGTGCTGCCGTTTTAGAAGCCACTTAGAACGCTGGGTACTTCTGAGATGTTGCCATCTTTTTTTTTTTTAACAAGACACATCGCGGAAATTGAGCAGAGTAGTAGTACCTCCTCCATGACGATCACAGACAAAACTGAGCAAAATATACAGATATGTCTGTGCCGTGTGGACGCTCTAAAAATTGCAACGTTTTCATTCCGTCTTAAGACTACGTAAACAAAACGTTATGCAAAACGGAGGGTCTGGATCGGCCTTTAGACAGATGACTAATGAGGAACCCACATGCTATACTTTAAAGAACTTAACCGACGATATGGCCAGCTATTTGCGTTACTGAATAGAAAATCTCAACTTGACCACAAAGTACTGATCTAAAAGACAATTTAAGAAAATTCTGAAACTTACATGGACTTACGGATTGGAACTGTGGAGGAACGCTAATTCTTCGAATATCAAATACATTTAATCCTTTGAGTCCAAAGTCCTTTGAACAATAGTAAATGTCCCATTTAGTGTAATCAACAAAACATTACATCATGACCTTAATATCACAGTTATCCTAGATCTTAACCTAGAAAAATTATCCAGAACTTAGCAGAGCCTTATCATCCAAATCCTCCTAGCACAATCCCTATGGTAATGGCAAGGGCTCCAGGATCTTTTGTAGTACGAACATAGTTGAGTTCCGATAATAGACAGCAGTTTGAAAAAATTAAAAACCAAAAATAAGAATTTGCTATAAAACATATGAAAACTATTTAGAACACCATATATTTGCACAAAATTAACCGATTTCAATGATTTTGTTTTGCTTGTCAAGAAATTTTCAGATTCTCATTATTACCTTCTCTCAAATCAGATTCTCCTATGCAAAACACTGGTTCTTACATACATATTTCTTGAATGAATTAATACACTTACCGTAAAAAACTAATACTTACATTGTGTATTATCTCTTTGTTCTTGTCGTCCATCATGACCTGATAGAGCAGTGAATTGAATTCCTTGGACTGAAAAACATTATGTTTAATATTTACTTTTATTTTTGTAATTTTAGGATTTATATATCCGCTTTTTTTCAAAGTATTTTGAAACATATTTTTTATGGTGACTATACATTAAATAAATTGAAATCGACTACTAAATATACAAAACTATTTATATAACTAAGGTTTGTTTCTATTCAATCCTCTTTCATATTCTACAAGCTATGTTGGTCTATGATGAAACACAGAAAAGTATTATTATTTGTTTGGATGTATTTTCTGCTGTAAGTTTTTAACAAAGTTATAAGAAAGAATAATAATAATAATTACAGTGGATGATTTATCCAAACTAATTCTCTCCTCCTCTCTCTCACTCTTTCTCCTTCTTTATATTCTATAGTCCTGTAATAAATATTGTTACAAGGAAATATATACAGATTTCAACAGAAATATTTTTTTTTTTTTCAAAAACTTTGTTAGAAACTAAAATATTTATAGAGAGTAAACCAAAAAAAAAATACTCAAAATCACCGAGATGCCTTGACACAGGCATTTAATCTCCGTGGTCAGTCATCAATAACAGTACGCAGCACTTTTTGAGGAATGCGCTCAACTGTTCGAACCAGAGATTGTTTGAGGGTTTCCAAGGTAGGGTGTGCTCTGTGGCATGCCATCCTCTCCAGTTTGGACCCGATAATCGAGCCGTTGCCGACAATCTAGTGGGTTCAGATCCAGAGCCAATCCGAGGCTGAGATGAACTCTGGAATGTTCTTTTGCAGCCACTCCTGAGTTGACTTGGCCTTTTGAGCTGGAGGGGAATCCTGCTGGAAAATCCAATGACTTCTAGCAAACAGAGTATTATTTAGAGACTTGACCAAAGGTTCCAAAATATCGTCCTAATTGATATTAGCGGCTGTTTTCACAAAAATGGAGCTTTGCGGTGCCTTCAAAGCAAGCTATCCCCCAAACCATCACTGAGGAAGGATGATGACCTCTTTCCACTCTTCCAATGACTTCCTGGGGTTCTTTAGAGCTGTGTGTGTACACACGATTATTTTGGCAATTATTTGTTTCTCATTTGTAAACATTTTCTCAACACTATACTAAATCATTCGATGAAGACCATTGGCATAACGGCCAAGGAGCAATTTGCATCTATCCACTCTAATTTTTTTTTAGGGAAGTGGTCATTTTTTTTTTTGCGAGACATTGATCTGACAGAGATTACCATTTCACGAGACATGAGGCTTGACAATAGGTTCCAAAATATCGTCCTGATTGTTTTTAGCGGCTGTTTTAACTCCTTTTTCACAAAAATGAAGCTAAAATATTATAGAATGGGATTTCTTCTGATTCCAGCAACCACTGCTCTCACTGCATTTGCCATTCTCACAGTGCGAGGACGGCTCAGTCGATGTCTGTCACATACAGATAAATCTATTTATATATCTATTTATAGTGCGGTACACGAACATATGGCTGATACCCAAAGGTTTCAAAGTATTGAAAACCTCCGACCAACGTTTTCCAACTTTGTTTAAAGTTATTCGGTTTTCTTTACCACCCCACTCCATGTTAACGGATCTGAAGAAAAATACAAACTAATTGATTATTATCCTGACATATAAAGAAAATAACCCAATAGAGATAAGGATTATCTAAATAATACCCAAGGATGTAAACAAAATTCAACTTTTGTAACAGTATTTATGGCAGAACTAGAAATATATATATAATCATTGTTTGAAACAAATGATATTTATTTTTCCAATGATATTTTTTTAGCACCAATAAGAATTTGATTATCAAAATTACGATCAACCTCTCTCCACGAAATTTCTTTTCTTTTTTTTTTTGTTCATTGCTCCTGTCATCCGGAAAAAGGATGTACCGTTCAGAAATATTGTAGATTGCAGATATTATCTCAATATTATATTAGAACGTAGACGGACTATTGCAATATAAACGAGAACTACACTTGCATAGCAGTCGACAGATTAAGCCCCTATAATAGTCACTCGAACAATATTTTCGACGCAAATACGTCTATTAAATTTGGTATCATAGTATTGGAAACTCACGAAAGCAGGGCTATAGTTCGGCATAGTATCATTTACATCTAATAATTTAAAGATTACATAATTTATGTGGGATGGCTTTAGCGTTAGTGGTGGTAATGAGTTAAATTAAATATTTTTCAAGTTAAAAATTGCCAAACCTAAACAAAGTCGAAAAAACAAAAATTAAGCATAAAAATGTAGACGACAGAAAATATCAGGGCAAGACAAATCCAATAATATATATAAATTAAATCTGATATATGCATCTTTGGCTATGAAAACAAACCTAAAGTTTAATTGGAAATACTCCTTAAATAAAATCAGTGGTTAATTATTGTATTGAACTATTGATGCTTTTGAACTGTTCTAATCTAGTTAATTATTAACAAAAAAATCTTATAAACGAACCTTATAAGAAACCATTGCTGAAGAGTGCACTATTATCCAAATGTTGTAAAAAACAAATAGTACCATTAATAATTGTCCAATGATGATGATAATCGGTTCATTTGAGGCAAAAAGGCTGATGATTATGTAAACATTAATTATAATGAAAGTATAACTGGACAAAATATTTATAAATATTTGGAAAGAATAAATACTATTGATATTATCGCAAGTCGAAATCAATTTATTTATGGTTTCAACAAATTCTTTTACATTGCTCCATTTCTTTGGATAGGCCGGACGCTGTAACAAGTTAATGCCTGAGTCAAACATATCTCCAACAAAATCGAGCAGAAAGGTGAACTGTCTACCACACGTCCAATAAATTAAACTGACATAAATCGACATCATTGATATTTCTATAGAAAAATGTGTATCTCCCGAATAAGTTCGAAATAAACTAATAAAGATTTGGAAAATAATATCGAAAAATATTGTTCTATGTTTAGTCTTGTTTGAAATACTGATTTTTAATTCGTGAAAATATAAGTTCAAAATGTTAAGCGTTTGATATGTTTCCGTTACCAAATTCCGATTTAGATATATGAATAGAAGGTATATAGGTCCCATCATTTTGCTTATAGCAACCTGAGCCATAAGTACTAAGTTTTCTAAGCGCATTGGTAATAAAAACAAAGAAATATCAAATACAAATGACATAACCGTGTAAAAGCCAACTACCAACACAGAATAGAATAATAACAACCAATCGATTTGCAAGACATTATCGATATTCCTAAATGGGAATATTCCTATAATGGACGATACCCTGATGATGACATGGGATTCCACAGATCGGGCAGAGGGCCGTGACATTGTCCAAGGAAACATGAGATATATTACGACTATCGGAACCTCCAGGTCAATTATCGATAAGCACCAGGTCTCAACATATCAATTATCTTGTTCCCCAACATCTCAAAAACATGTATCCTATTACATGGCATTAAGAAAGGACAATTCGATAATATGATTGATATCAATATCTATATAACGTAATATAATTAAATTAATACTTCAATATAAACTGTTACTTTTTTGCTTTGAATACAGGGAAAATTGAAAATAAAATAATTGAAAAATTATTAAAACTAGGAGGTACCCGCAGTTATTACAAAACTGTATTATATAAATGTTCATTTAATTGTAATGCTCGTAGCTGAGATTGTATAACTGTAATTTAAATGTATTCTATAGTTCAGGTTGTATTATTTTTTATCAACAAAAAATAAACAATCAAGATGAGCATGTTTGCGGTAGCTTTGGCGATAATCTGGAAGTAGAAGGATCATTAGCCATTCTTTATTTAAAAACAATGCCTGCTGGATGATATACAGATGCCATGCAGCAGTAGGTGGCCACGCTTACTTGCGTTACTACTCACAGCTGCAATGAAACAAATTGTTGGAGCCAGGGGTACTTCAAAACCGAAGTACAAATCTTTCCCCGCTGCGTTTCCTCAATGGTGGGGAAAATTCGAGTAAAATTAAAAATGTTGGGAAAGAAGGGAAAAAAAAGAGTGAATAAAAATGAGACCTATAAAACATTAAAGAAAAAAAACAGGCATGCACACGAAAATATTAAAAAATAGAAATATTCAATAAATCAAAAATGGAAAATGAAAACCCCTTCTAAATGCTTACAAATGTATTGAATAAAAGAAAGAGATATACAACATATACAATTCAAAACAAACAAATGAGAAGAAAGAAAATTATTCAATTTCACTGAAATAAAAGAAAACATAAAACATAATGTTCAGTTAAAATAAAACAATTAAACATTATGAAAAAGTATATAGTAAAATCCACTTCGGAAAACTATAAATAAACCAAGAGAGAATGTCTGTGGTAACGGTGAGAGAAGTGAACGAAAATATCCCCAATTGGAGGCTACATTTCCAAAGAGGTTAGTTACCTGAAGTTCAGCTGTCAAAGCAGTCGATGGTGGGGGGATCGATACGCATATCGATGTGCTACTCGATGACTCGCGATGATACAGCGGTGATCTCTAAATGGCGCCGGTGAGGTGAAATGAGTCGAGAATGGTGGGGGTAGTCGTCCACTAATATCTCGACAAAGGCTACTTCCAGACTGGCTTAAGACTGCATCCCGACAGTGTTATGGCATTATTTGTGTCTTAATCCCTAAGACTGGGTATTACTGCAGGGCTGCTGCGTATACACAAACGCGATAATACTTCGCAAATAAGCCTAAATATATAAATACAATAAAGTTAAATACACTTTTGAGACAATTGTCCCTCAGTTTTTTGCCAAAAAAAAAAAATAAACCTTCCATCATTAACACTTAAAAGGGGTGAGTGGTTAGAAAAAAAAAATACACAAAAAAACAAAGGTATGAGAGTATGCGGCGTTAACACAAATATATATTTATTTTTTTCAAGTTGTACACTGAGTTTCCGGGTGGATGTCCATTTCTTCTGCTCAAGAAGAAGTGGGTTGAATCAACTTGTTCCTTCTACTCCTTCTCAAAGGCATTGTAGACGGATAGTTTACCTCATAAACTTGACCTGTGTGCCTCATAGGCGATACACTTAAGGGCGACATGCTCGGTGGTCTTCAGTAACTCACAACATAATAAGGAGCAGATATTCCCACCACGTTCAACTAGCTACAGTTAGTAAATTCATAAAAAATATCAAAACATTTATTAGGTTGTAAGTAAGTTGTGTAACTAATTTTTTTAGAAACAACATTAAATTTTTACATTGTTATGATCTTTTTCAAGAGATTTCTCCAAGCTATTCTTTAAAAGATGTTTCCAAACAGATTTGAATGGATAGCATCGATCAAAATGTAGACCACTGTGAGAAGTAATCCGCAAGAAGTACATCTTCTTTTCTCATAAAATACTAGTAAAATAGTAAGTCGAATATGTCCAGTTATCAGCCGGATTGGACCAGTTGTTTTCGGTCAGCAGAATATTTGGAGTTCCTCGCTGAATTTACTGCTCTACAAACCTTAGTTTATCGTCTCTTGTGGAAGAACGTTTCTTTGCCACTGCAGTATTTTACTTTGTTTAAAAAGGCTACTTCAGAAGGTTATATGAAGATTGGTCGATACTCTTTGATTGATAAATCTCCTACATAGTATGATATCTACCATAACTATCATACTGGCAACTATAAAAATGCCTGGTAAAATGTCTCCTCTAGCGCCTTGTAACCAGGCGGCCTTATGGGCTGTCCTGTACTCAGGCACCGAGGGAGGTGAATGAATGCAAGACGAGAGAGTAATTTTAATGTCTTTTTGCAATGTTTCTTAGGTTATATTTATAAAAAAATTGACAAATTAATTTATATTATAATTTGTATTATCACAATAGCAAACATCTGGTACGATTCACGCATCGCATAACTTTCATTTATCACCACCCTCTTCTTAGCATAAATAAGTATTTTCAGAAAAAAAGGGGAAATGAAAGTAAACATTATGAAAGCTATATTGATTAATATTTCATTGCGGATATTTTTATTTGTTTAATTATCCTTATATATACAAATTAAATATATTAAGCTCGTGTTACTATGAGGGGCCTGTTCTAATCTTCGGGCCAGCTCGGGTTAAATCGGCCGCGCTCGTATCCCTTTGGTTCCTTCATTACAACTATTCTCTGTTACGATCTCTTATTCCTCCTTTAATTAATTATCAAATTCTTTCATATTTTATATTTAACTACTTTTTATATTAGAGATCAATGTGAAATGGTTAGTT